TGTTTGGGTGCTGTGTGTTTAGGTGCTAAGTGAGCACTGAGTGTTTGGGTGCTGAGTGTTTGGGTGCTGTGTGTTTGGGTGCTGTGTGTTTGGGTACTGAGTGGGTGCTGTGTGTTTAGGTGTTGGGTGGGCACTGAGTGTTTGGGTGCTGTGTGTTTAGGTGCTGGGTGGGCACTGAGTGGGCGCTGAGTGTTTGGGTGCTTTATGGGTGCTGAGTGGGTTCTGAGTGGGCACTGAGTGGGTGCTGAGTGTTTAGGTGCTGTGTGTTTGGGTGCTGTGTGTTTGGGTGCTGTGTGTTTGGGTGCTGGGTATTTGGGTGCTGAGTGTTTGGGTGCTGAGTGTTTGGGCGCTGAGTGTTTGTTTGCTGAGTGTTTGGGTGCTGAGTGTCTTGGCCCTGTTTGGGTGCTGAATGTTTGGGCGCTGAGTGTTTGGGTGCTAAGTGTTTAGGTACTGTGTGTTTGGGTGCTGAGTGGGCACTGAGTGGGTGCTGAGTGTTTAGGTGCTGTGTGTTTGGGCGCTGGGTATTTGGGCGCTGAATGTTTGGGTGCTGAGTGTTTGGGTGCTGAGTGTTTTGGCGCTGTTTGGGTGCTGAGTGTGTGGGTGCTGAGAGTTTGGGTGCTGAGGACAGACTTGTCAAGGTCTAGGATCCCACAACTGTGGAAAAGGCACTGTATAATCCTGAGTGAGGTCCCAGCTGCTTATGTTGTAATCCCAGAGCTGGGTTGGTACTTGGGGTGCGCAATCTAGAATTCCCGCCTGAGACCATGTTGTCAGCAGTAGAGATGAACCCAGGTGTCCCTGCAGCCAGCGTGGCCGGAGGGCCCAGCCTTGACCCACACCCCACGCGTCTCCTGACTTCAGACCCTCCCCAGCTTCCTGACCTCAGGGCCCTCTTCTTATCGTCCTTGCTAGACCAGCCTGGACATTCGAGTGTGGCCGGGGCAGTGCCCAGCCGGGACCTCCTGATGAGGCAGTCACTCCTCCCCCAGTCCTTGCTGCTATATTCCTTTCGGGCTTTAGGGCAATGCCATTCTTTTCTATATGTCATATTTTAGGTGCATTTAACTTAGTTATCCAGAAATCAAACTCAGTTGCTTCACAATTTCTTTTTTGGTGATGGGGTCTCCCTGGATTTCAGCATCTGAACTTAACTTGGCGTCGAGAGCAGCTGTCACTGCACGTCTATCATCGTGGCTTTTGAGCGCTTCCTTGGTGCAGGCGCCCACTGAACACCACGCACACCTTGGTCCATTTCATCTTCGAAAGGGTGTCGCGAGTAGGCACTGCCGCTCTCCCCACTTTCCCAGTGGAGAAGCTGAGACACAGAGAAGGGGAGTGACCTGCCCAGGGTCCCACGCTTTGTAGGAGGCAGAGCCGGTTTCCACATAAATTCATGTAACTGTGTCCAAGGCCGTGTGTATGCACCAGGACCCAAGATTATTTTTATTTTTGTAGGTAACACACATATGTGTCTATGTGGCTTTTATAAAATTTGACAAGTGTCTTGGTTTCCTGGGGCCTTGTAACAAAGTAACCACAGACTGGCCGCTGGAGGCACAGAAGCGCGTTCCCTCCCAGCCCTGGAGGCGGGGTCTGAGCTCAGGTGTGGCTGGGCCAGCTCCTTCTGAGCTACGAGGCTAGAGGCTACAGGGAGCATCTCTCTGCCCCAGGCCTCTCTCCAGCTTCTGGCCTGGCTGCCTCCCGGGTGTCCCTGGGTGTGGAAGCACCGCCCCGACCTCCACCAGCATCTTCTCTGGGGGCTCTCCACGCCGTGCTGGGATCAGGGCCTGCCCTAATGACCTCGTTTTCCCTGGGTTACCTCTGTAAAGACCCCGTCGCCAACCAAGGTCACATTCAGAGGCACTGGGAGTTAGGCTTCAGCATAATAACTTGGGGGGGACACAGTTCAGCCCCTAACAACTGTTGTAAGCTTTTGACTTTTCCATGTGTAAGCAGCATAACGTTCTACCAAGGCATGTGGCTTTTCTTTTCTTTTAGAAAAGGGTGATGCCTCTCACAGAGGCCAGCATCTCTACCATGTTTATCTCGGTGTAAACCTGCCGCTTTGAGGATGTCCGGCCCACGAACTGTGCCTCCCCGGTCAGCCCAGTGTGCAGGCACCGCGCGAGGGGGGCCGCTGTCCGCAGAGCGCGCTGCAGGCTCTTGTCTCTCGCCCTCTCTCGCAGGCATCTTTCCCGGCAAACCTGCAGCTCGTCCTTGTGCTTCGCCCGACGGGTTTTTTCCAAAGGACTCTCTCCGACATCGCTTTCAAATTCAATAGAGATGACTTTAAGATGAAGGTGCCGGTAAGTTCCGCCCCCCTTCCCCCCATCCTGCGGGAGCAGAACGGAACTAATTGCTGTCCTGGCTCATCTGTGATCATCAAAATCCTCGAGGAGCTGACTTCAGGGCCACGTGGTCAACAAAACCCTGTAGGACCTGGTGGGAAGCTGCACTTCCTCAACGCGTCAGAGGCCACGCGGTCCTTTCTTCCTCCGCCCCCGCCCCAGCCCCCACCCCACTGGGGGTACACAGAGCATCAACCTCAGACAGGCCACTGTGTGGGCGTCCCATCAGGACGCGGGTCACGTGACATTCCTACCCCCAGGAAAACTGTAGAACTCGGGACCCTAAGGACTGACAGTCCCCCCGGCCCACCTGCGAGGAACTCAGCCCAGGCCCTGCCTGCACCCCAGGGATGAGAGAAGGGCTGGGGAGGGGGCTGTAAGCGTCCCTGGACCTGGGAGGGAGCACCCACTGCTGACAGGGATGGGCCAGACCTGTCCTGGAGCAGCCAACGGGGTGACCCCTGCCCCATCGCCACCACATAGCGCGGCACAGGGCAGCGTCTCCCAGCACTGCCCACTGAGAAAGCACCTTCTGCCCTGATCCGCTGTCCTTTAAAGAACAAAGGCTTCACAAAGTCTCTTGGAGCCTGTGGAGCCCGGTCACCAGCCCCAGCTGTGTCAGCTCCCCCTGAGAGCCCTGGTCAGCTGACTCGGCGAGCTCACATCTTCTCTGCCACAAAGAACAGAGACATATGGGCCAGCGCCAGGCACCTGAGAGCCCCCCATGGCACCAGCCAGATGCTGCTGGAAGCCAGGGAATCTGGGGTGCAGGTCGCTCGCTGTGAAACTACTCCCTGTGCCCTGGAAATCAGGTGGCACAAGCCGTCCCTCCCCACCCTCATTGTGCTACAACCTCAATGCCAAACGTGCAAGAGCCCTTCTCTGACAGGGAGGAAAACGGCCTGGGGCCTTTCCCCCGTGTACTGCCCCCTTCCACTCCCCTCCCCCTCCTCCTCCCTTTCCCCCTCCTCTCCCCCTGCCCAAGACAGCCCTGGGGGCCACAAGGCCCCATCCGCTCTGCCCACCCCCATGCAGTCCACTCCAGGTGTCGCCTGTGACCCTGGTGCCTGGTCTGGAGCAGGGACTGCAGGTGCAGGGCGGTCTGCATGGCATCCCATGGGGCTGTGTGCCATCGTGCTTTGGTGGCCCCAGAACCACCGGCTTCCAAGCCATTGGGAAACTGTGCATGCACCATTTTTTGTAGCCTTGGAGAAGCCTTAGTTTCTGAACCGTCCATTCCCTAGAGACAACCAGTGACAGAACCGTGCAGGGCAGGGACTCGTGGGCAGTGGGAGGCTCATGTCCTGACACCAGGACGAGCCAGGCATTGTGTGTGCAGCTCAGCGCCCTGCGGACGGTGCCTCTTGCAGTGGCGTGTGCGTGTTATGGTGCTTATGATAGAGATAACTCCGTGTGCCCTCCTTCCCTCCTATTTGGCAGGCACTGCACAGTAGCCATAGGCTTTGTGACCACAGATGTGTCACGGGGAGCAAGGCCGACCTCATGGGTCATCCATGCCACAGGCTCCCCTGCACAGTGGCTCCACAGCAAGCCATCAGAATGGGTTTCACAAAAATCAGCAGCATCTTCAAACTCACAGCCCCGCTTAGATAATTCTTGAAGTTACAGAGCGGATGATGTGAAGGATGCAGTTGTTGACACGTGTGTGTC